TGTGTGTGTGTGTGTGTGTGTATGTGTGTGTGTGTGTGTGTGTGCGCACAGAGGGAGGGTATGGCGCTGATGTGCACTCAATTATTGCAGGAAGCTCAGTGAGTCACTCAGTGGACCCATCCCTCCTGTGTGTGTATATATGAGTGTGTGTGTATGAGTGAGTGAGTGTGTGTGTGTGTGTGTGTGTGTGTAGGGATATGTGTGTCTTGGGGCTTGAACAGAGGGCCTGGGCGCTGTCCCTGAGCTTTTTCCACTCAAGGCTAAGCATTCTACCACTTAAGACACAGCTCCACTTCTGGCTTTTTGGCAGTTAACTGGAGTTAAGTCTCATGGACTTTCCTGCCCGGGCTGGTTTGAACTGGCATCCTCAGATCACAGCCTCCTGAGTGGCTAGGATTACAGGCATGAGCCACCAGCCCAGTTTAAATGGAAACTACTGACATGGGATCTCAGAAACCCATACAGTTTGTTTTTTCTCCAGACAATCATTTCCAAACATTCAAACATGCCACAAACTCCCCCAAACAAGTATGTAAACCCTTCGGTCTTGGTTTGCGTCCATGGCAAATCCCTTCAAAGGGGTTCTTCATCCAAGAAAGGCCAGGAGAGAGAAGCCAGTGGGGCAGGAGGTGTGCCGGCCCTGCCCTCTGTCAAGCCCCATGAATGCCTCCTCTCAGATGTTCTAATAAGCCAGGGCAAGTCAGCTGAAGCAGAAGCCAAGGTCCCGAGTTTCTTAGGAAATCAGATTCCAAGAAAGTGGCAGGCACAAATGTAATTGAATGTTTGTTTCCAAACCGGATCTTCAAAGTGTATCTTGTTTAAAAATAAACTACTCCAAGAATCCCTCCGTGGCAGATCTGAATCCCCAGCTCCATCCCAGGTCCAGGAATGTGTAGGTAGGAAAGCCTCCCAGCCATGCCAGCACAGAGGGCCACAGCCGGGCTTGTTAGAGGTGCAAAGGTATGTGTCTGTCCACATATGCCACCCCTGCAGGAGCCCAAGGCCAGGGTTCTGGCCCCCAAATCTGACCATTAGTCCTACATCCGTCTGATCCCCACACTCCCCACAGCTCCTGGGATGCCGTGGTTAACTTTGAACATGGCATTCAAACACAGACGGTGACAATGTGGCAAATAGCATTCAAGCTGAGAAACCTGGAAGTGGCATGGGACTTGGAATCAGAGCTATGCTCGCCCCAGCTTACTTACTTGGCTGGCACTCTGCCACTTGAGCCAAGCTTCCAACCAGACTTTTTGTTGGTTGTTTTGCAGACGGACTCTCTTAGACTTTTCTGCCCGGGCTGCATGCCCAGGCTGGCTTCGAACTTCCATCCTCCTAATATCTTCCCCTTGAGTAGCTAAAATAACAGGTGTTAGCCACTGGCAGCAGGCTCAGCAGATGTTTCTGGGAAAGCTTCTGATTCCAGCTTCATGCTGATGACTGGAAGTCAGAGACTCTTGGTTTGTCATCGTTGCCTCTGCCCAGGCGAGGCTGGAACAGTTCAGATCTCAGCGTCTGGAGTCACTGGGATGACAGGTAGGAGACACTGGCACCAGGCTTTGTTGTCCCCAGACCTGGGGGCAGTGCTTCCCCGAGAAAACACAAGGAGAGCCAGTGCTGGCCACAGAGGGGTGAGGGGTGCAGAAGATACCAGCGGGATAACAGCTGGCCCACTGGCAAGAAAAAACATGAGGGGCAGCTGTTTCCAAGACTAAAGACAACCACTCAGAGTTCCTCTAGCCCCAGCTCTCAGGCTATGCAGCCCCGGTGAGGGCTCAGCCACCTCGCCAGGCCCAACATCATCGCCCTTGGAGACAGGGTCAGGAGGACATCTCTGGCCTGCAGTCCTGGCTCCAGGAGGACAGGACTGAGATGGAGGAGAACTCGTCAAAGCTGGACACTCCATCCCCTCTCTCCATGGTCAAGCAGCTCCTGGGGCTGCAGGTCCCAGTCACGAGACCGTCTCTGGCCAGGGAACCTCCGTGCTCTGCCAGCTCTTCCGGCAGCCTCAGCTGGGACCAGGATTCCAGGTAAGACACTCACCTGGACCACTTCCAAGCCCTTGAGCTCCCCTTTGCTGTTCCCGAGTCAAGGTTCCTGAATAAGCGTATCCTCTGCTCAGCAAATAGCAAGGTGGATGGAGCTTCTTCCTCCACCTGGGGGCTGAGCCCACAGAAACCTCTAGAAGGCATCAGCAGCCTTCTGTGGACAGGCTGCGGCAGCGGACACACTCAGTACCTCATACCAGCCTGCACACCTGCACACACCTGTTCCCTCTGCCTGCCCTTCACCCTGGCACATCTGCAGGGAGAGCTGTCAACAGACCCCAGGACTGGTAACTGCAGAAAACAGTGCAGCTCGAGGGGGGGCATCACAACTCGTATGTCCGCATGCTTCTCCTGTCCTGTTCCTATTGCTTTGGAGCTTGCACGCTGAGGAGAGACGTGAAGGGAGGCCGGGAATCCCTGGAGACAGCAGACCTAGTTCGCCCAAAGCCCCAGCAGCTGGAATCAACACAAAGCAGTGCTCAGCTGCCTGCCTCTTTCCCAGGGCTCCGCTTAGGTTTGACATAATTATCCTGCAGCCATCAGGACTCAGGTTTGCACATTAGGATGTGACAAAGGCTTCCCCGAGGAGTGCAGTGCAGTGTGCGGAGAACAGTGTTTTATCATTCACGCCCCGGGCTTTCCCCCAAGTGTGGAAGCTGTGCCAACAACTCAGGACTTAATCTTCTCCCTGGGGAACTCCTCGGGGCAGGTGCCCCATGCACCTGTGTTAGGTGAACCCCACTTCACCATGCCTGCAGCGGTGTCTTCATTTTCCTTTGCTCCATGTGGTAGACGCAAAAGCAAACCATCTCTGGATGACCAAGTGCAGGAAAATAGGACATAAGCCCTGCTCTCAGACCCAGGCAAGAATAGCTCCTCCCACCTGTGTGCAGCCAGCCACCCTGAGGGTCCTCAATAACAGGAAGTGTAGGCCGAAACCTTGCCAGTCCTGTTCTCTAATTAAAGTAGAACTGTACTTCATTTGCAAGGAAACAAAGAACTACAGACACTGGCCTAGGAGGTGAAAGTCAATTGTTAACCTCAAGGGTATTTCTTTTCTGGAAGAAAACCACTTGTGGCCACAAGCACTCTGTTCTCCACCATCCTGCGGCTGGCCCATCCCTTCCCTTTCCTGCTCAGAAGTCCTTTCAAGTAACCCAAGATGTGCTCTGGGGCGGGGACAACAGCCCCTCCAGTGTGTCAGCACACAACCCTCCGACAAACCCACCAACTCTCATCTCCCCTGCAGTGGCTTTGTGAGGAGCAGACTCCAGGTACACCACTTCCTGCTCCGGGATTAAATGATTCATTCAATCATGGCTCATTGGCTGCAGCCGGCCCGGCCCGGCCCGGCGCTACACCACTTCCTGCTCCGGGATTAAATGATTCATTCAATCATGGCTCATTGGCTGCAGCCAGCGGAGGCAGTGCCCACCAAGATGCCAGTGAGGTGAGTTCTGCCATTGGAAACCTAGCGAACCTTCTCCCCCTCTCCATGCATGCCCTTTCACATCCGCCTCCGCTCCTGAAGGCAGGGACCTGAGGACCCAAGTTCCACCAGGCCAGCCGGGGCAGACAAACCCATGAAACTCTACCAGCAAAAAGCCAGAAGCGGAGGTATGTCTCAGGTGCTAGCATGCCGGCGGTGAACGAAGGGGCTGCCTGAGACCACGAGCTCGGAGCTCAATCCCAGCAACAGCATGAAGAGCTAAACAAGAATCATTTCTGTGGGGTAGAGAGGAGGGACTGGCTCCCGGAGCCTCCTGAGCAGAGCTCCAGGGCTTTGCTGCGGGCGGCTGGTCCACCCCTGCAGTGTGGGCAGGAATTCCGGGAGGATCCCAGGCTCTTTGCCCAGCAGTGGGGCTGTGGCCCAGGAGCACTTCCTGGTCTCCACTGCTGACTGAAAACTCGGTCACTCAAGGGAGGTGGAGTGTGGCGAGCCGGGTCACCCTGGGCGAGCGGCGTGCTGACCCTGTTCCTCAAAAGCTAAGCAAGCACAGCAGCTTCCTCCAGCTCCGGGGAAGCCGTCCTTGGCACCCCACCGTGGGTGGCTTGGGGGAGAGGAGGAGAATTAGTGTCCACTATGGTTAGTAGTCTTGATGCTCAGAGGACAGGCTGCAGGCAAAGCTCCCTTCTCGGGGTTAGAGGCGCGCACGGCAGACGGCT